AGTTTAATCAAACAAACAGACTACAGATTCAATGTTTCAATGTTGTTTGTTAATTTTAAACAAATCTAACTTATAGTGGTAAATTTAATTGTGTATACTAACTCAATTACACAATCTAAAATCTTAACAGTATAATTTCACTACTTATTATATCTGTTATTTGATTAGGTTTTTTTTTCACTTGACATACTTTTATAAAATATCACATCAAAAGTTTACAGTCTGGTTTAGTATTGGTTTTGTGCAATGTAAAATACAAAATTATATGAATAAAAATATCATTTATTAGTTTTAATTGAATATTTATTATTTTGATTTAAAACACTTAAAATTAAAAAAATTTTAAATAAGTAGTATCAGTTCAAAGTCGTTTGATGATAGTTTGTTTATTCTTCAGATCTATTTTATAAAACAACAACAGAATAATGTGATTCATATATATAACAAAGTTAAGAATTGGATATAAGGATTAGTGATTTCGGTATCATGTAAAAAATTACTTTATATTGTCTGAATATGAAGGATGAATAAGCATTAAAGAAAAAATATTTATCGTTCTATTTTGGGATTCTTTAGTATATGCAAAGGTTTCAAGTTAGTATGTATTGTAGATTAAAAACACGTAGAGATCTTTTTGGTTGAGATCGTGAAATGAATAATGTTAGATCATCACTGAAAACTTGGAAGCAGTGGACGGTTAGATAATAACACTGTTGGATGCCGGCTCAGTGGTCTAGAGGTTAAGCATTCGCACGTGAGACTAAAGGTGGTGGGTTTGAATCACGAGGGCGGGATCGTGGATGAACACTACAGAGGACGAAACGGGTGTATAGTGCTTCCAGGTTTTCAATGGTGCTCTAGCATCAATCGGTTCATGATCTCAATCAAAAAACTTAATAACCTTCACAAACCAATACTGAGGTAGAGATCTATTATAAACTAATCTGAACTTGACAGATGCCTAGGCTTTGTTTTAAATTCATTCTGAAATATCGTAAACTGAATTAATATGGAAATGTAAAAAATTCAATTTAGATTAATCTCTTTAAAGATTTATTGTACTTGCTCTTGAATCCAATGCTTTGTAGAGTTATGCTCTTAGTTACATAGTTCAAGTTTGTCCATAGTGTAAACTTTCTTAGAACCATATTCATTACTGTTAACAAGAAAATGATAAAAAAAAGTACATCCGAAGAAACACTGTAAAACTTTATCTTCCATTTAAGATATTTAGAAGCCTAAGAATATTTTTGATAGTATTTATTTTAATTAGTCATTTCATTTAAATACATTTATGGTATAGTGAATAAACAATAATGAATTAACATTTAAAAATACATGAAATAACAATTAAGTTTTATCGAATAATTTTTGTCAACAAAGTATCTGGAATAATTTACATATTTTTTTGTAAAGGAATTATTAATGTTTACATTTTTAGTTGAAAGCTTGGAAATATAGTCTAATAATGTACTTGGCACGATTCTATCATTGAATTCATGAATCAATTGGAACTAGACCACCATGGAAAACCTGAAAGCAATGGACAGCCGTTTCGTCCTAGTATAGGACTCTTCAGCAGTGCGCATCCACGATCCCGCCATGTGATTTTATTATTCATGTGAACAAGTATTTAATTGATTAAATGATTGTAGTCCAGTATTGTGGTCCATTAGATTTTGCTTGATTTCATTAGTAATAGTAGCTGTAAAATATAACTATTCTCATCTCACTTTAAAACATTTAATCTTCACAATGATTATAGATACAATTGTTCAATACATTGATAATATTTTGAACGTTTCAGTTTTATTTCAATAAGTAAAATACCCCAGTTCAATTCAAATCACTTAGACAAAATAATCGTTTTTCAAATTTATAATGTTACTTAAACTGATCAGAATGTCTTGGAAGATTACTAAGCAACTGTTTATTTGCCAAGTTATTATACTTATTCATTATCATATAGTAACAATGTCTATTGTGTAAGTGAATACGTTTTAATGATTTTTAACTGTTGTTAATGGTGAACGGAAAATTAAATCTATCTGCATTGTTGATTGTTGTCACCTACCTACTGTCTTAGACTAGTTACGTAATTATTATCTAAATAATATTTGTCTATGGAGCAAAGTCTACAAGAGTTCCTTCAATATAATTTTGTATATGAATTGGAGGTATTCGAACTTTGTAATTTTAGTGGTATTTGTGAAATTCAAGCTAAAGTTGCAGTAAGTTAAATATTTTCATCAGTATATTTCAAAGATTTCCTTCTAAGACAAATTTCGTCATGAATTAACATTATCTGGATAACTGCTAAAAGTCATGGATCAATTTAAATGTATTTTGTTTTAGCCTGAAACTTCTAGACAGTACATACTTATAACACAAGAGCTTGAAAGCTGTAATTTTAAGACTATAGCGAACATGAAATTGGCTAATAGTAGTCAGTGATGAATAATACCTTCGGCACATAGTAAATTCTTCACCAAGTTATTTAGCTTAGTAAAGGTTTCTTTACTGATATTATTACTTCTGAAATATGAAGCTGAGTATATTTCATGATCCTACAAAATCATCACAAGTAACTATAAATAATATTTACACTATAGTTTAAGTTGGTAATGTGTAATAAGCAAAGCGATTATTAAACATTACGAATTACACTTGAATAAAATAGTATTGACATATTATAGAAATAGGTAGATTATCCATACTAACAAAATACAAAAAGAAGCCAGTAGGTTATGGGTTCGAATACCGCGGGGTGCGGGATCGTGGATGCGCACTACTGAGGAGTCCCATACTAAGGCGAAACGGCCGTCCAGTGCTTTCAGGTTCCCAACGGTGGTCTAACATCAATTAATTCATGATCTCAACCAAAAACTTAACAATCTCCACAACCCCCATACTGACAAAAAGAATACTCAGATGAATACTTATATACGTATTAAGAAAATTATTAGAAAGTCAAACTGTCATATGAATAGCATATAATTCATAGATTTGAATTGCTTGAAAGTTCTTTGTATGAAAACAAAGCAACTTCTTTATTTGTAGTTATTAATGAATTCATTCTGATGTAAAATTGTTTTTCTATACTTTTAATGATTTAATTACTTCACAGATGAAGGTAAGGAATCCTCAGTATCATCCTTGTTTACTGAAGTTATCATGATCTCAACTGTTGAAATTACTACAATCTCCACAAAACCCCTTCTGATACTAATCAACATATGCTCACCAGTGACTGGCTTCAAGAGGTATATCCTGGAGTTCTAATGAGAAACAATGACCAGTGGAGTACAACCGGGTTAGGTGTGAGATAGTAACTCACTGATGACAATGGGTGATGTGTCGCTCAATTTCATGAATTGGTTGAAGTTAGACATTAACACCGTTGGATGCCGGCTCAGTGGTCTAGTTGGTTAGACGCCTGGTGAGAGACTGGTAGGTCCTGGGTTCGAATCCCGCGAGGCGGGGTCGTGAATGCGCACTGCTGAGGAGTCCCACAATAGGACGAAGCGGTCTTCCAGTGCTTCCAGCTTTTCCATAGTTGTCTAGCTTCAACTGACTCATGATCTCAACTGTTGAGATTATCATAATTTATTTATAGGTACCTGTACCAAAGATAGACTTGGTAGTTTTAAATAAATTGAGCATTAGGCATAAAGTAAATAATCAATATATGCTTTTGTTATATCGCAATGAGTAGAAAAATTGTATTTCTGACGTTTAGTGACTTTATGTAAGCTATTTTTTCAAGGTAAATAAATAACTGAATTATCACCATTTATTTAGTTTCTGGTCAACATAAATTTTAGATACTTGAATCCAATGGTTTTCAAAGGAATGTCGATTTGAATAATATTACTTGGCTAATTTTCTAGCTATTTAATTAATTCTATTCACTTAACTTTCATATGTATTTCTATTCTTCTCCGAGACAAAATACAATCATTAATAAAGTCCCTTAAGAAATACTAAACTAACTTATATACTCTGAAAACCAAGGCCTATAACTGTTGAGAACACATTCTTCACTGTTATTCAACTGTACTAAAAATATCCTATTGCATCAGGATATTTCTGTACATATAGTACTAACGAAGTAATTTAACAGTCCTTTTCCTTTTCCTTTCTATTTCTCGTTAAAATTAATTTCTTTCAACAATAAATTTATTCGTCATCATACCATAGTCCACGGTTTTTTACCATTTTTTTATTTACATAATGGACTAACTGATAAACCAATTCAATGCCGATAAGGGAAACAAAGAACTTCCTAGTCAGTAAAACATGCCGTTATGTAATAGTAGTCAGTAGATCATAGTCTTCCTGTTTACATTGTTTGTCATGGTACAATATTAAGGACAGCGTCTGTAAAAAATATAATTTGTATGCATTTTTTCATACACTCATATATATCTATCAGATTAATGCTATATTTTTTTTTACCAAATGTCCTAATCATTGGACCGAAGCAGCTAGTGTAAGTTACTTCATCCAAGTGTTGAAAATAACAATTGACCTTAACCCTTTTCATTTGTTTTGTTAGTCTGCTGTAATCAAAACCTTGTTGTTTTTATGGTCTTTTGGGATGGTCATTTATATGGGGTCAAGAGAAGGTCAGGTATTTCGCCTACTACTTCTATTGAAATTAACCAATCATACTGTTGCATAGAGGAAGTTAATCGGATTACATACGTGCAAAATTGTACAAACATTAGCATCATTTCTATCAATGTCTAGGCCTGAGCACCAAATGGATGTTTAGTGTGTGCATATTTATATAACCAAAAGCATTTTGTTTGCATATTACCGGATCTTGTGCATTGTTTCATATATACATACATACATACATACATACATACATACATACATGCATACATACATTTGTAGATTGGGACAACAGTACATTGGAATGGTGTAGAGTCGATAGGCCACCAGTATATAAGACCTGGATACGGTTATCAGACAATAGAAAAAAAAGAATTTTTCTTTTAACTACCCTGAAATTAAAAATATAACTCAGTAATTTTTCCTCCTGAAAATACTATTTAAATACATGACTACATGTCCACTTGTTAAAACTTATTTATTATATGCACATAACAGGCAGCAAAAACTTATTATAGAATTCCTACTATACAAAAATAATTACTAGACATTAGAAATCCAGTTCATTCATTACAATATTTTCAATATTTTTTGTTGTTACTATCTTGTGAATTATAAATACTCATTTTCATATATAAACAAAAAAAATGATTCGATCAGTTCAAAACCGATTAAATATTCAATTTAATTCGAAGTTTTTTCACTGGGTCATATTATTTTTATTTTATATTACAATCAATCAAATCTCATTAGTTATTTCAAATGGATGCCTTCAACCTAATGGAATGTCTATGTGTTGTGCCGGTCGAGAGAAGAAATGTTTTGTTTACAAATCAACTGGACAATCTTCAATATCTAGATATTATCCATGGAAGAAATATCGTAGTGTAGCTGGTCATTCAAGTCCACGTGATCGTTGTTATTGTGATGAAAGTTGTGTCATTACTGGAGATTGTTGTCATGATTATCATTTCACATGTCAAAAAACAAGTAAGTCTATATGTTAATGATAATCATTTTTCTTTAGTTTCATGCATATCAATTTAAAGTTACAAATAATATATAGGACTTAAAATTACATCAAGTGTTCATATGAAATTCATTATTTTGATATGATTGCTGCTAATTTCTGAATAACACAAGTAATGTTTTTAAAAAAGCATAATAAACATGAAACAATTGTAATGTTCTTATTTATTTCTTCTTCTACAACCTACTGAATTCAACTAAGTTGGTTTCAGTTGAATTCATTAAGGACATAGCTGAATTATGACATAGATATTTATTGCAACGGTTTATGGTACTATCCAACTACTCAAATACAAGTAGATTAGAATCTACACATTGAAGAACAAAAGTCAAATGTCTCAATCGATAAATCACCCTTCACCAAGTTAATTGTAGTTTAAATAGTTTATACACATTTAGTTATATTTACTAAAAGGTTTCAAATCCAATTACTTGACTGATTCATTCCAATCTAAACAGATATGGGGATTTTGTTGCATCATATCAACGCTATATTAATGAATTAAAGCAGTTAACTAATTAATCTGCTAGTAATAGTATATGATTAATAGTTAATAGAAAAATACATTGATTGCGATTTGACATCTTAATAGTGCTGTCTGTAGATTTTTCTCATTTAAAGCTATCTACCAGATGATCCGAATTAAAAAATAGCTTATTTACAAATTTCCTACTTCAAGACTCATTAATTCATCAGTCGTTGTAATATGGTTATATTATAGTCCTCATGTTCTATACAATCGTTGTAGGCAATTGAAGTGACTGAATCTTTAAGCCTTAAAAACTCAGTCAATTTCAAATAGTAGGTCAGTTTTGGGATAAACAACTATTTCATAATAGATTTTACTATTGAATAAGAACATAGTTCCACTGTGATAATGGTAAGTTTCTTACTGCTCAACTTTTCCACTGTTTATATGTAAACATCTTATATACATATTTGATTTTATAATACACAAATAACATTTATTCTCGTAAATCCTTTTTATAATGAAGTCAGTTTTAAAGACTTATTCCCCTTACGTTTTATAAGATGAACAGAATATTGAAAAAGGATACAATACACACTAATTTCCCATAAATACCAATCTTAAATGTCGATTTCTTATTTTTGTTTTAAATAAATAGTTTATTTTCTTGTTAAATATATCATACAATGACGTAGAATGCTATCGACAAGATTTGATTCTAAATTTTAACAATAAGAATGATCTTTGATTTAATTTAGTTCACATTTTTCAATTAAATAATATTACTTTGAAATCATGAGAAGCCATGACTATTAGAGTTCAACTATGTTGGATGAGAGATGGCCTCTCAACATTGTGGAGTGGTTGAAGTTAGACATTAATAAAGTTCGATGCCAGCTCAGTGGTTTAAAAGTTAAACGTTCGCGCGTGAAACCAAAGATGTTGGGTTTAAATCCCACGTGCGGGATTGTGGATGGGCATTACTGAAGAGTTCTATATTAGGAAAAAAAGGCCGGTAATTACCTTCCGGTTTCCAATGTTGGTCTGATACTGATCAGTTCATGGTTTCAGTGAAATAAAACAATCTTCACAACCTCAAACTGTAAATAATATTAGACAATGAAATGATATCGTAATAATAAAATGAACGAATGAGTGACGTAAATTGTTGAAGTCATAGTTATGACGAATGTCAACTTCGATTATGATTCATCGTACAGCTTTATTACTTACTCATCTCTCCTCTACCTGTTGGAATTTTACTGATGGTTTTGAAAGGAGTAACTGATTTTTTTCTTCGAATTTTAGTTTGATAAAGTGGAATTATATCTTAAATGGATTCGTTACTGTGATGTTTTGTGGAAAAAACAGGCTTAATATATGATTTAGAATCATTTAGCCTATTGTATAAACATATAGAAATAAATCTGCATGGGGATTTATGCAGATTGTAGCCTCTTAACGGTTGGATTTACTAGTCGATATAAGCTAGACCATCACTGAAAACTTAGAAGTACTGGATGGCCATTTCGTGCTAGCATGGGGCTCCTCATCAGTACGCATCCACGGTTCCGCACACGGGATATCGTTTATGATGAAAAAGTTCCTAATTCTGGATTAGTGTTACAGATCTTAAGCCAAATGCATACAGCATTTATCTGAATTGGTTTTCTCTAGTATTCCGAAACATTTAAAGCTAATTAAATCCTGAAATGGATTTGAACAGTTTAATAATTCATGGTTTATGGTAAGAAATTATTGTGAAGATTGTTAGCATTCAATGAACAGCGAATAAACAAAGACTTAACGAAACTTAATACCTTTATCATAATCCTAAATGTCATAAATTCGTGAAATTGTTTTACTTCTTGAGGGGGCATATGCTATTGGATGTTCAAACAATGATGTAAGCATACATAGTTCTATAACTAACTTATTTTTATTTCACTATTCCATTTTTGCATATATATGAATTTTATGATATATTTCCACCTAAGTAAAAAATTTAAATGTAATCATTAGCAAAATATTGGTCACATTTGTGAAAGAATTCCACAAAACCGTAGTTTAAACCAGATTATTTACTGTATGTTAATTACTCTCCTGTGGCTTAATTAGAAGTCATTGTACATGAGACAGTTCGGCTTGTTAAGATATTCAGTAGTGCAGCCAGTTTATTCATCAAAATATCTCTTATTTTTTCTCAATAACCAAAATTTCCCTCTAGGTTCAATCATAATCTTCATGTAAACCCTAAAGTGACTTAATTGAACTACGCGAAAAATGGATTGTGAAAATTAATTCCAGAGCAATCATTTGGGTCGGAGAAATTAAACCTTAAAAAACGTAATCTTAAATAAGGAGAAATTATAATTACCTTTTGGTGATTGCACAAGCAAGTGACTATCAGGATTCGGTAGCTAAGTGGATAACGTGATGGGCTTGAATCCTGGAGTGAACATCAACTCTGAGATGTAGGTACATCCATCTGACGAGTCTCAAATAGGACAAAACAAGTGTCCTGGATTTCACTACTAGCCACTGTCCATTTTTGCTTAATATAATTACTTCTTATTGTGATTCTACTTGTTTAATAAAAACCAGGCACTATGTGAGGCTTGCTTTTTTGAGATTTTGTTTGTTTACTTCACAGATCAAATATTTTTAATTTAGAAAAAAAGCATCTGAAACTTTTAGAACTAGATGAATATCTACACATGAATAGTAAACATCATCTATAAAGCGGAAATTAAGAATTTTATAAATATCGACCTTTATCAATTAATATAAACAAATACATCCTTTCTTGTCTGCACTTTTTACGATATTTTTTATAATAGTCCATTAAATGTTACTAATTCTTTTTTATTAAAGGAAGGGATTGTGTTAGAAGTTATTGAAGAGTATGACACAAAAGAAAGGTAAAACAATCTAAAATTAACAGGAGTTGACACTTAAAAATAAGATTCTTTTCAAAAACAGTTAAAGAGAATACTGTATGATACCTTCAAGCCAATTATCTGATGATTATTTGTAGGTGATAAAATAATTACCGATATGATTCCCAGTGCTGAGAGACTGGTATATTTGCATGTACAAACAACTTGGTTTGAATGATTTGTTTCTATCTTTAGTGGCTGGATAAAGTAGCCTAACAACCAACTTATCGTTCTACTTGGAACTTTTCAATCAGACATCTGTACTCTCAAAATAACTGATGGTTGTCATGTAATTCGAAACTATATCATTCAATTTCACAGATATATTTCCATTTGATTGACCTTCTACAGAGGTAATTTCTTTACACAAACTTGCAACTTAGTAATAACCAATAATATTGTGTATGACACTTAGTGACAATCAAAATCTTTCAGTCAACTTAAAATGTAGTAGCTAGGTTATATGATTACATTGTAGTGTCATTTTTTTATGTAAATTGGTTGGAGATATATGGGAGGAAGCCATACGTACAGGTTTCATGTCATTTGACATTTGTTAATAAGAAACCTTTATTACAAACTATTTAACGACATCCGACAAACATAAATCTTTCATCTGGCTGGTATTCGTCTATGTTAAAAAAATTGATCAAAATGATCATAAGGATTCCATCGTGTAGATATTTATATCAACAGATCATTAAAAAACCCGTATTATAAGCTTGTAGTCATAAAGGTTTTTAATGAATCTTATCTAAGATTCTTCAATGATTATTACACTCAAGGAATTGTGTCTTAATATTGATTAAGCTAACAGTTCCTCCAACAACAAAAAAACACTTACATTATGAGAAATGAACCAATGTTCACATATATATTGATTATTTAACCAGATCACTTCTATTCTACTTTTAATAAAATCTATCATAATCGAAATTTTGATCAATCTTCATATTATGAATCAATAGTTTTAATTTAAACAAACATCTTTTCTAATACCTAAGCTACTTATAGATTATAATGTTTATTTGTTGTCATAGTTACATATAATTTTAAATAATTTCCTTTTAATTTTATTGGGTAAATTAATCAAAATCAAATTTGAACAGATTGATAATTAAATAATAAAGAACTATTTATTATTATTTTTTATAGTTTAAAATAAATAGAGACGATCTTTTAAATGGAAGCAAATCTATGTTTATTTAAACAGAAAGAGAGAGAGAGAGAAAAAAGAGAGATTAAGAAAATATGTGTATAATTGGATCTCATTTGTTGGAGTTAAGTAGTTTTTGTATATGCATATGCATTTTTTTGTTTGTGAAAAAAACAAAAACAAAACAAACACAAGAAATGTTGAATTCATCCTAGAAATAGGATTTCTATAATTCATAAGCTTCATAATATAACCATATGGGTCTATCAATTGAATAAATGTTAGTATCATTCATACAGCTAATTCATTTTATATATAAATGTACATTTTGCATAATCGGTAGTGATATACATTGAATTAACGTACACCTGCTTAACAACATCATACCTATTAACC